AAGAAGTTGGACCCAAGAAGGAACACACCAAGGCACATCATCATTACATTAGCCAAGATGAAAATGAAGGAGAGAATCCTAGAAGCAGCAAGAGCTAAGGGGACAGTCACCTACAAGGGAATTCCCATCAGACTGTTAGTGGATTTCTCAAAAGAGAACTTACAGGCAAGAAGGGGCTGAAAAGCAGTATTCCAAGTCATGAAATCCAAAGACCTACAACCAAGATTGCTCTGTCCAGTAAAGCTTTCCTTTAGAATGGAAGGACAGATAAAGTGCTTCTCAGATAAGATCAAATTCAAGGAGTTCATCATCACCAAACCCTTATTATATGAAATGTTAAAGGGACTTACCTAAGAAAAAGAAGATAAAAAAGATGAACAGTGAAAGAACAGCAAACTCACAGTTAGTAACAACCACACCTAAAAAAAAAAAGCAAACTAAGAGGACAGCTAGATCAGGAGCAGAACCATAGAAATGAAGATCATGTGGAGGGTTAGCAACAGGGGAGTGGGAGAAGGAGAAGGGGGGAGAAGATACAGAAAATAAGTAGCATAGATGGTGGGTAGAAAATAGATAGGGGGAGGGTAAGAATAGTTGGGGAAATATAGAATCTAAAGAACTTGAGACACGTGGTCATAAACTAAGGGGGGGAATGGTGGGGGAGGGGTGTGCAGGGTGGAGGGGAATGAAAGAGGGGAAATAGAACAACTGTAATGGCGTAATCAATAAGATATATTTAAAAAAATAAAATAAAATAAAAATAAAGGTGGAAAATGGTTGTTTTACTTGATGCTGTGTTGTCTTAACCTCATATGAGAAGTTTTAACAAGCCTTTTTGTTTGTGTCCCTGGCTCCACATTTTCACTGAATCTTCTGTGAAGGTACAACCCTTACAAAGTGGTCCCCCATTCATGTCCCAAGAGAGTAAAATACACTTCAGTGACCTGCATGCTCAAGAACTGATTTGGTGTTTGTTTGCGATGTAGGCAGTTGTTCTGGATAAAGCGACGGGGAGCTGCCGTGGAGGTGTTTCCACCCATGGAAAGAAGTGGGCACATCTTTCCATGAATGGACACAAAGGGGGAGACAGACAAAAGGGACTCCAAGTCTTACAGGATGGAACTTGACCATCACCATACTTTTACTAACTTTTCACAATACAGTTGCATTTTATTTTTTTTAAATTTTTTAAAATATATTTTATTGGTTATGCTGTTACAGTTGTCCCTTCCCCCCCTTTATTCCCCTCCACCCTGCATACCCCCTCCCACTGGCATTGCCCCCCTTTAGTTTGTGTCTATGGGTCCTATGTATAAGTTCTTTGGCTTCTACATTTCCTATACTATTCTTAACCCCCACCCTGTCTATTTTCTATCTATCATTTATGCTACTTATTCTCTGTACCTTTTCCTCCTCCTTCTACCTCCCACTGCCCCACTGATAAACCTCCACGTGATGTCCATTTCTGTGATTCTGTTCCTGTTGTAGTTGTTTGTTTAGTTTATGTTTTTTAGGTTCAGTTAATAGCTGTGAGTTTGTCATTTAGTGTTCATATTTTTTATCTTCTTTTTCTTAGATAAGTCCCTTTAACATTTCATATAAGAAGGGCTTAGTGGTGATGAACTTCTTTAACTTGAACTTATCTGGGAAGCACTTTATCTGCCCTTCCATTCTAAATGAAAGCTTTGCTGGATAGAGCAATCTTGGGTGTAGGCCTTTGGATTTCATGACTTAGAATACTTCTTTCCAGTCCCTTCTTGCCTGTAAAGGTTCTTTTGAGAAATGAGTTGATAGCCTTATAGGAACTCCTTTGTAGGTAACTGTCTCCTTTTCTCTTGCTGCTTTTAAGATTCTCTCCTTCATTTTAATCTTGGCTAATATAATTATGATGTGCCTTGGTGTGTTCTTCCTTGGGTCCAACTTCTCTGGGACACTCGGGGTTTCCTGGACTTCCTGGAAGGCTATTTCTTTCACTAGATTGGGGAAGTTCTCCTTCATTATTTTTTCAAAAATTTTTTCAATTTCTTGCTCTTTCTCCTCTTCTTCCGGCACCCCCATAATTCAGATGTTGAAATGTTTAAGGTTGTCCTGGAGGTTCCTAAGTCTCTCATTGTTTTTGCATTCTTGTTTTTTCATCCTGTTCTTGTTGAATGCTTATTTTTTCCTTTTGTTCCAAATCATTGATTTGAGTCACTGCTGGTTCCCTGTACATTTTCCTTTATTTCACTTTGTGTAGCCTTCGTTTCTTCCTTCATTTTATGACTGAGCTCAATCAACTCTATGAGCATCCTGATTACCAGTGTTTTGAACTCTGTATCAGATGGGTTGTCTATCTCCTTGTCACTTAGTTCTTTTTCTGGAGTTTTGACCTGTTCTTTCATTTGGGGCATATTTCTTTGTATCAGTGCACCTGCTGTGTTGTAAGGGGTGGAACCTTAGGTATTCACTAAAGCAGGCCAACCCTCTTTGCTGCGTTGTGGTGCTGTCTGTCGGGGAGGGGTCCAAGAGGGAACAGTGTGGCTTGCTGTGCTCTCGTCCCTCTTTCCATCACTCCCCTCACTCCTCTCACTTCCCACAAGTGGATTGTGCACTGTCAGATGCTAATTCACAGGTGGGTGGGTTTGTGTACATTCTAGGACCCCGTGGGTCTCTCCAAGGAACTCTCCTGTGAGGTTGGGAGTTTCTCCCGCTGCTGCAACCCCAACAGCTTTTTACAACCAGGAGTTTTGAGTCTTTAGTTTCCTGCACTGAAACCCTGGGTCTCATGCAGTCTGTCCCACTCTCCTGCTCTTCCTCCTGTCTTATCTGTGCACCAAGGTGGGATCGCCCTGAGGTCTGCCCTCTTGCCTTGCTGTGCATCCTCTCCACCCCAGCTGCCCATCTTGGCCCCTCCTACCGGTCTGGATGAATATTTATTTAACCCCTTGGTTGTCAGACTTCCATGCAAATGATTTTCTGGCAGTTCTGCTTGTTCTTTGTTTTAAATTGGTTGTTACCCTTCTTTTAGTTGTGCAAGAAAATGAAGCATTTCTGCCTGTGCTTCCATCTTGGCCCGAAGCCTGATTAATCAGAATCTATTATTATAAAGCATGGAAGACTCTTTGAAACATGAGTTACAAATATTTGCTTCAGCCTTTGACCATCATATTAACTGACCTTCAGGAGACAGTGTGGGAAATACGGTTTCACAACAGATTATTTAACATACACAGATGGCCGCCAGCCAGCCATGACACTTTGGTACAAGAGGGCAACTACCCGAGTCACACCAGACACATCTGGCAAGGAGACACACCTATGATATCTGCACAGGTGGCCAGAACAGCCAGGTCTGCAGAGCGGGCCACCCAGAGATAGGCTCCTGGGGAAATGCCCTCTTGACTTCAGGGGTGACAAGAGGCTGATCGAGAGACCCAGGGGGTAGAGTACACCTCTCTCAAGGTGTAACCGAGGCTGGCTCCAGGCCACTGGCAAGAGACCTGAGCCCCCACATCCCAGGGCTGCTCCAACCCGCACCGACTCCCTTGGCATCAGCTGCTGGAGGCTCTGCCCTGCTAGACTGAGGATTTGTCTGCCCGCTGCGCACCTGGCTCCAGAGATCCTTCCTCGCAAGATGCTGACACCTCCCTCGCCCCCCTCCTGACCCCATGCTGTCTCCCAGACCTGCAGACTGAGACTCTGGGAGTCGGGTTCATTATCCCCCAGTTCTCTCGAGTGATGTCACTACTGGTTGTTACTGAGTGATTAGTATTATCATTAAATTCAATCTGGGCGAACCTGCACTAATAAAATCCGAGTGAGCAGCACAGTCCCCTGTGTTGGCTCCCTGTTATTTCTTGATGCCAGTGTCACCTGCAAGGACCAATGGTCATACAGGCGGCTCGGTGTTCGACCAAGTTCCTAAGGCCTTTGGTTCCTTAGGCCGGTCAGATGACCCCAGTGTGGGCCAGAGGCTAGTGGCTAGCAAAGAATATGTGGCACAAGCCGCCCACGACGCTTGAGCAGTCTTCAGTCCCCCTCGTGTCCTATTGTTTCCCACAAGGTTCTCCCGGCATGTACATGTTACCCTGGGTTGTAATGCCTTGCATGGTTGATTCTCCTTTAGCATTTAGGGGGTTTGGGTAGGCGTAAGAATCTTGGCATTTTGAACCAGAAAATCTACATGTTGCAAATTTCATTAAAATAGTCTCTAAAAAGTGAACTGATTTTTTCAGTGAGAATGAGATGTGTAAACAATTTACAGGAGAAATCATTGTTTTCAAGCCTGGCTGTTAGAATCATATTTCATAAAATAGTTATGTTTTTACTAAATAACTAAATATATAACATAGCTGTGTGCTTTTACTAAATAACTAGAAAGTCTCCACTGTTACAAAGACTGGCACATTTACACTCTTTCAGGCCAAGCTAATCAGATCTTATTTATTTTTTATGAGACATTGGAGAGCCATTCACTGATGACTGGATTTGCAAGTTTTGTTGGAAGTGGGAAAGGCTGAAGCTAAAAAAAACCAATGAGGAAAGTTAGAAAGTATTGGCCCAGCAAAAGCAGTGTCTGCTGGAATGGAGAAGAATGAACTCAAGAGGGGTTTCTAGGACAGGATGAGCAAAGGTTAAGGACTGCTTTGGGTGGTGGGGTGAGGGATGGGGGAGCCGTACAGGTAGACATTTAATCAGAATTTAATCAGAAGTCAGCTCGCAGCAGCTGAGATGGACGAGCTCTCCAGGAACGAAGCCCTGCAGGGTCTGTCTGCCTCCACCACCTCCATTCACCAGGAGCGACACTTGCCTCCATCAGAGCTACGCCTCCTGCAGCTACTGCCATCGAGGCTTATGTGTATCTTCCAGTGGGCTCAGCTCCCTAAATTCTCTCAACCACCCATTTGCACATTCCCCATCTCTGAGCGGCCCCTCACCGTATTTCTACTTTACTCTTAGCAGGGATGGAGACCACCGAGCTTTCTCTGGGTTTTCCTGAAGGTCGTGGCCCTTGTGTGACCTCAGTTCCAGGACTTGGGTGGCTCAAGGCTGAGGGGAAGCACAGGTGGGGGCGGGGGGCAGGGCAGGTGACCAGTGGGGTTTGGGTGCAAGGTGGGGTACCAGTCTTCACACCGGTGGGGTCGAGCAAAGGAACCACCTGCGGAGGGCTGCAAGGGAAGGGCTTGGTGGTAGGGGTGAGGGAAGAGGGTCTCTGGTGGAGATGGTGCTGGGTGGTAGGAGTAGAGGCAGGCAGAGGCCTCAGGCAAGAAACCGGAGGGGGTGACGGGAGGCAGATGAGCCAGCGGCTGGAGCAGTGATCGCTCTTGCTTCCTCTTCTTAGCTCTGCGGTTCTGGAACCAGACCTGGGGAAGGGGGAGAAAAAGCCACATCAGAGCCCCTTTCTCAAGGAGTTGGCACTGTCCCGTGGGGCCCCCTCCCCTGATGACAGAAGGTGCAGGTGCAGGGCATAGCCCCCCCCCCCCCATCACAGGAAGCAAAGCTCTCCAGAGGCAGGTCTGGGCCGGACCGAGTGACAAAGCAAGATGAATACTATTATCCCCAACTTGTGTCTAAGTTTGCCGGACTCTAACTCTGGATGAGTACAAAATGCCAATTTCCAAAAAAAAGGAGAGAGAGGTAAATATGACAGGATGGCATTTTTCCCTCCCTAGAGAATAGGAAATTTCCCCTAGTGTTATTAGAAATTAAGATAATGGGTGGGTTTAATTGTTATAGTCAGGGTTGGATTTAGGGTCGGGTTTGTACTTGAAATTGACTGACTCCCTGGCGAGAAATGAGGGAGCGTCAGGCTGACTGAGGTTTGAGGCCACGGTGAGGGCCAAGGTTACCTATTTACACTTGTAGGTGAAAGGGTGAGACTAAATTTCTGTAAAGGCCCAGGGTAGGTGTTGACATTCAAGTTGAAACAGGTCAGCACGCGGGGTAACTGCAGTGACACTCCCGGTGCGGATGAGGTCGTGCTGCCTGTCCCCTTGGGCTGCGGTGGTGACTGTTAGCGTGGGGTTATGGTGCCTGTGCGAGCGCGTGCTGGTGGCTCTCTTCACCCCAGACTGCGCTTCTGCCCAGAGAAAGCTGTGGGGGCGCGTTCCGGGACACTACCTGGATGCGGGCCTCGCTGAGGCCTGTGTCCCGGGCCAGGCCCTCTCGGACCCAGATGTCAGGGTACTGGTTCCTCCCGAAGGCCAACTCCAGCTGCTCCAGCTGCGCTGGACTGAAGGTGGTGCGGTGGCGCCGTCGCGAGTGCGGGTGGCCTCTCTGATCTCCTTGCGGAGAAAGCCCGGGTCTCCCCACTCCTGCACCGGAGAGGCTCCCGTAGGGCTGAGTGCTCATGTCTGAGGGCGGATGGGAAGGGAGAGGTTGCTGCCCAGCGGACCCCCATCCACCCCTAGAGCCCCAGGGTGTGCCCGCTGTGCAGCGCCCCCCAGTGGCTCCTCCGCACTTTGCCCCATGCAGACACCCGTCGGCTTCCACGGCAGCTGAACGCAGCTTGGCCTGGGCCCCGCGCCAGCCCCCAGCCTTCTGGGCCAGGCTGTGCAGTCCACGTAGGGCCTGCTGTTCAGGCTCACTCCTGCTCCCGCCGCCTCACCCCTCCAGGGCTCGGGCGCCACCCCCATTCCGCTACCCGACACATGCTTCTCACCTCTCCGCGAGCCTCATCCTGCGGGTCTCCCACTGGCTCTGACCCCCTAACAAACCATCCGAGACCCCGTGGCTTGTCCCTGCTCTCACAACTCCCATGTTCCTTGAACTCTTTCAGACTACTCCCAGCCTCCAGCACCCCTGACCTGGGAGGATGAAACGTTTCCCCCTCTTCCGTCCGGACACCCCCCCCACCCGGTACATCTCATCTTCTCCCCTCTTCCGGCCCTGGCTGGGCCACTGGGCCGCAGGAACCTGAGCTCGTGGGAAAGGCTTGCTTGTCCTTCCCACAGGCTCACTAAGCCCGCGCACTAATTAGTCTGAGAGCCAGTGGGGGCAGAGAGAACAGGGAGCAAAACGAAACACCTGGGAGGCACGCACTGAGAAAAGGGGATGTCTGGGGCTGAGGTCCCCATGGGGATGGCCCCGCCCAGCATTCACCGTCTACCGTGGGGACACAGATGTATCCAGCCCCTGGTCCCCTGCTCGCCTCAGCTCCAAACCCGTGGCCCCTCCTTCAGAGAAGGTAGTGCAGGAGGTGAACCGTGAAGCCAGGAGTGGGGTGGGGGGGCAGATTTCTGCTCTCCCTCTGTCTCCCCCTGTCCCACATCATAGCGAGGTGGGAGGCCAGCAGCTGGCCAGAGCTTGGGATTCAGTGGGCCCGCCAGTGCCCCGGGCTCACTAAGGGCCCTGTGGTTTTAATATTCCCGGGCTCTGTTTTGATTTCTTCTCTTCACCTTCCTTGTGGCAAACCGCTGCCCCACAGAAGCCCAGCCATGGAGCCTGCATACCCGCTGTCTCCTCAGGACCCCAGTTTCACTCACCCGCCATGGAGGTCCCAGCCCCAGTGGCTGGGCCGCTCTCCGGCTGGAGGCCGCTGCGGACTCGCCCCGTCTCTGGCTGACCCTGCTCCCCCGTCCCTCCTGCTTCCATGCCCAGGAACGGGCACCCAGGGCAGTCCAGTCTCTGTGCCCCTGAGTCTCCAACTCAGGGTCAGTCTTCCTCCAGTCCCGTGGCTGCCCGCTCTGCTTCTGCTGCTATTGACACCTCTCTCGGGTCTGTGTGGATATAGAGATCTTTGCCTTTTTCGCTGCCTCTCCTTTCTGCTAATTTTTCTTCAAACTCCCCAGTCCCTCTCCCGAGCATCACCCCTCTGTCTGTCTTGCACGCACCCTGTTTCTCTGGTTTTGTCTCTGCTTCCCTCTCCCTGCCCCTTCTCTCCTGATGCGGTCCCTCCCTTTGCTCTCAGCTGCCCCAGTGCCCAGCCTGCAACCCCACACCCCCTCTTCCTCCCGACACCCGCCTGTCGGGCCCATCCAATCACTGCCTGACCACCAGAGCCCCTTCATCAGGGAGGATCACACTCTGGATGAGGGACGGTGCTCTGTCAGAGGGTCCAGGGCCTGGGGCCAAGAGCTCGTATTCCCAGAGGACCAAGTTCTTTTGTCCGGTTAAATCCCTCGCTAGGAGCAGGCAGGGGAAGAAGGAGAAAATGCATTCCTCCTCAGAACCCCCCCCAAGGGAGGGGGGGGAAATGGGGGCCAGGAGCAGGGCCTGCCGGGCATCTCAGCCTGTGGGTGATACCCAAGGGCCTGTTTCCAGAAAACTAAAAAACTAAAAGACACAAGTGTGTTCCAGCCCCTTCTGGGTACCCCAATTCTCAGAATGCACCAGACGCCCCCTCAGGATGACCAGCACCCCTAGCTCTCCTCCTCCAGGGGCTGCCTCCACACGCGCCCAGGGCTCCGCAGCCTTCCAAGGTTGCCCAGGTCTTCAGAACACCCCGCCCCCCAGAAGCATCTGAATCCTGGGTACACACTGAGCCCCTGGGGCCTCAGGACTGTGCAGGACACTGAGGTTCCCCTGACGCTAGGATATTCTGATTGTTTAAAGAAACTTGAGTACATCCAGAACCCCTGAGCAGTCAGGACACGCTGACACCCACAGGACTCTGCTCACAGTGGTTACATTCACCCAGGAAGAGCATTCCGACGTCCCCGGCACATCCTGAGGTCCCGGGACTCCGGGATCCTCCAGGACACACTGACCCCAGGAATATTCCACCTCTACTGGAAGGTCCCTTGTCCTCACCATGAAGCTCTTCGCTCTTGGGACACGCCGACCCAATGAGGACCCCCTAACCCCCTTGGAACATGCTGCAGCCACACACCAGTCTGATCCCCAAGGTCATACTGACCTTCACACATATCCTTTAAAAGCACCCTGACAAGGTAAGACAGAAAACCATGATGATCCTCTAGGATCTTAGGTTCACAAGACGGTCCATGGACCAAAAGCATCGGAAACTTCTGTAAGCTCCTAGGGACACACAACCTCCGCCCGCCACTGTTCTACTGAGTCCAAATCTGCATGGCCACGGGCTTCCTGAGAGAATGAAGGTACCGTTGTCTTCTTGAACTCGGGCTGCCAGAAAGAAAGAAAGAAAGAAAGAAAGAAAGAAAGAAAGAAAGAAAGAAAGAAAGAAAGAGAGAGAGAGAGAGAGAAAGAAAGAAAGAAAGAAAGAAAGAAAGAAAGAAAGAAAGAAAGAAAGAAGAAAGAAAAAGAAAGAAAGAAAAAGAAACCCAGAACAAATAAGCAAAAGGGAAGGTTGGGTGACTTAAATGATAGACATGCATTTCTCACAGTTCTGGAGGCTGGGAACTCGGAGATGAGTGTTAGCCAAGTGGCTCCGGCAGGAACTCTTTGCCTGGGTTGCCAACGGGTCTTCCCTCTTCACAGGGCGGAGGGGAACCAGCTCTGCCGTCTCTTCCTCTTCTCACGGGGACAGACACTGATCCCGTCATGCAGCCCCACCCTCCCAACCTCCTCTATCCCACCAACTCCCCTCCCAAAGGACCCCACCCCAAAACACCACCACAGTGGGACCAGGGCTTCAACTCAGAGACTGGAGATCGGCCCAAACACTCAGTCTTCGATAACACTGCAGTTGAGAAGCACGGACTCAGGAGCAACCTGAGCTCCTGTGACCTCCAAGAGCAACCTGAGCTCCCAGACAGCCGCGACCCCCAGGGGCCCAGGATCCAACACACCCTGCTGCCTCAGGCTGCTCCCACCCTGCAGGGGAATTCTGACCGCCTTCCAAGACACCTAATTTCCCAAGGACATTTCCACCCATTGCCCCTGCTCCCTGAGGACACCAAAATACCAGAACTTCAACTTGACATCCCAGAATGTCACCATCCGTCAGGCGGCTGGGGGATTTAGAGGCATTTTTTCCTCCAATGCATCCTAACTCCCACCCCGCACTGACCTTCAAGGCACCTGACCCAGGGACCTCTTGTCCTGGAAGAAGCAGAGTGGTGTGGGAGGGAGGAGCGTAGGTTCTCAAGCCAGAGGGCCACGGCCTCAGTCCTTACTGGCCATGTGATCGGTCCTGAGCTCATCACTCAATACCTCAGTGCCGTGGCTTTGCCAGCGGGACACCTAGCACAGTGGACCCTTTACTGGAGGCCACGCTGCACAAAATCACTACAAATGCTGAATTGGTGAAGGTGTGGACCCGCTGCTCCAGGGGAAACAGGAACCTGTGAGCCTCTGGACACAATATTTTCGTCAACTGGTCAATCCATAGCCTTGGTGCATGTGTGTTTCCATTTAAAATACCTTACTTAATACACACTGTTCATTCGCCGACACTGAACTCACAGCCGCCCGGGAGGCATTCTGCTCACGCAGCTGACCCGCCGGACGGTCAGGCCACAGGGGAAGACACGCCCCGCTCTCCAGGGCCACCCCGGCCGTCCGACGTGCCCTGGCAGGCAGGACTTCTGATGCCAGGACACTGAACCTTTCAGTGCCCTCTGACTCTGTGAGCCCCGGACTTCTCATTAGGCCCCCTGAGCACTGCCACCTCCCCCGCCCCCAACACAGGCAGCCCAGAACAGCGCTGACCACCCCCCCCCAGGACCTCCTGAAGCCGTAGGGTGATTATGCTGATCCTGAAGAAACCCTGGCTGTTCGAGGAAACCATTCCCTGCTAGTCACAGACGCCACCGAGTTCCCCCAACCACCCAAACATCTCCGCCTCCTGGACACTGTCCCTCCTGCCTAGTGTCCTCTACTCCAAGACCCTCTGATTCCCGAGAACATTCTGACTGTACAGGGACACCTGGCACTCAAGTCTCTCCAAACTCCAGGGCCACCAGGTCTCCAGGTAACTCCGATCGCCTGGAACAGCCGAATTTTACGTGCAGACCCCAGCAGGACTTGTCGACCTGCCCCGAAAGCTCTGCCAGATCTGGGCTCCCTGGCTTCCCAGGAGTCCCTGGACCACCGGTCAGCACAATCCCCGAGACGTCCCGATTCTGTGAAAAGTTTGGTCTTCCAGGACACTCTGACCTCAAAGTTACTGTTGTTGTAAGGACACTTCAAGAATGTTCTGACAGCATAAAAATCCTGCGGCCAGAACACCCTGCCTCCCATGATGCTCTGTCTCTCTGACCTCTGCCTTCCCAAGACTGTCCGAGTCTCCCACAGTCCTTGCCTGTTACCTTCCAGGCATTTGGTCCCACACCATATCTTGGAGTCCTCCAAACACCAGCCCTGCCCCCGCCCCCTGTTCTGACCATTTAGAACATCTTAATCCCGCAGAGCACTCGGAAACCACCCAGGCTGAGACCACCCCCTGGACAGCTCTCTGACTGTGTGAGTGCTCCCTCAAGGCCTGGGAAATGAGGGCCCTCTGGGGACTCACAAGTCCCCCTGTGTGACATAAACACGTGCTACTCAGCTGCAGTGTTACTCTGGGCCTACGGACGGCCCCCGTCTAGGTTATTCAACCTTAGAGGGAAGGACGTTTTAATGTCCCAAGACACTGGGGCTCCCGGGACATTCTAGCCATCCGAAGTTACTGAGGCCCCCAGTACACAGTATACCTGACACCTCAGGACATTCCACCCGTGTAAGGACACCCTGCCTACTGGGCCCACCGTGACCTTGCAGAAAACATCGATCATACAAAATATACTAAACATCCAATAAACTCCATCCCTTAAGGATGCTCTGATCGAGCAGAATACTGGGCTGACAGTCTGAGGTCAAGTTCTGGAACCAGCCCTTGTGTGTGACCAGGGGCAGGTTTTTAAATCACTTTATACCTCACCTTCCTCGCTTGTAAAATGAGTACTAGAACATCCCTTTGGTGTTCCAGGCCAGCAAAAGCAACAGTGTCCAGCCCGGGTGCGGGCCTGGTCTCAGGACACACACAGGTAATAAATAGAACCAGGTTCAAGACTGGGGGCAGAAACCAGTCTGACTTAACGTTGAGCCCTTTGAATTTGGAAACTTCATACCGACATTTGAGAACACAGAGTGGGTTTCAGGCTCTGTGGGGATGGGCCAGGGCAGCCCACCCTTTTATAAAGCTTCTAGAAAAACTAGAGTCAAACATCCTCTTTACCTTGGGTCTGAGGTGACCTAGAGTGGTCTGAGTGGCATTTATTGAAAATGTCCCCCTTTCCTCGCTGCTCTGAAGCGTCTTCCACCATAAATTACGGGTCTCAGCCCAGATCTGTGCCTGAGTTCTGTTTTTGCTTCGTTGCCCTTTCTATTTATGCACCAGCACCGCTTGTCTCAGTCCCTGTGGCTGTGTAGGTTTTTCACACCAGGTAGGGCACGTCTGACTGCCTTGTCTTCCTTTGTCCTACATATCTTGATTAATCTTGGCCCTTGGTATTTCTGTGGGGATTTTACAACCAGCTCGCTAAACTCCATAAAAACAAGCTGGGGTTTTGACTGGCAGTACATTGAGTCACAGTGCTAAAGAAATATTTTTAAAAATCAATGTTTGTTTATTGTCAAAGAGGATGAGTCAAGTGGTACGGGGAACACGCTTTGCGTTTGGGCTTTGAAGAGCAGGCTGTTCCAGCATTTGCAGAGTTCATTAGCACATACAGGGACCAAAGAATGTGTTT